AGGCAGCTCACGGTTCAATCTCAATCCAATAATCGGGTGTGTAGTCGCTGGGTAAAATGTATCGATCGGACGGGTCCAGGAAGTATGGATCCCCAACGCGACTACACCCCATTGCAAGGAGCATTGCAACACAGATTGTCCACCCGATGATCTTGTATGGTCGATGTCATGTAACTACATAATGGGATGCAATCAGAGAGAACACCGTAAAGCACCTTAAAGCTCCATGGAAGTACTACCAAAGTGCTAGCGGTAACCACCTGCGTTCCACTGGAACTGAGGTACTCCTGCATAAATGGATATATCGTTGATGGTAAATATATGGGCATCTTTAGCAAGCTGAAGATACGCTTTTCACAATACGAAGATTGAGTACACAACAACACAACGAAGTCGGCTCGAGCAGGCCACGGACCACACACAGCACAGTGTAGAAGGATAGACCTCATTTGTGATTTTACTCCTCCAGAAAAACTCACCTCAACTCACCCTAGCACGGGCGCAGGCGTCCGTGCGATCGATCCGATAAAATCAATGCAACAGTATGTGGAACCCCACGAGGACGAAGTGTTGAAGGAAACCGTAGACTATTCCGACCGCCGCATACTGCAACACGAGGCCGATGTGCTGCTTGGTAAACAGGTTGGGAGACCCACCTTCGCGCAACGCTCCAAAGTCATCCACCTCTGGAAGCTGCTTAACCTTCACGTTCTCGTATTCTTTATATGTTTCTTTTAGGTAGCACATCGACACTCGCTCTGTCGACATTGCTGGCTTGCTGGGCGTTGAACCACGCCATCTTCGTTTCGCCGTGGATACACAAACGAATATTTTTGTCTCGTAACAATTATTGTGATTGAGTAGAGCTAATGTATGTTAAACCCTCTCAGTTCATGGTCATACGGGCATCCAATTAAACTTAAAATGAATGATATGTGAGGTGATCATCTTCTTAAACGCAAAACATTCTACATAAAGAATTGTGCTCACCTTGACAAGAGACTCTGAGCACATCAGATGAAGAGGACCGCTTCCTTGCTCCTTGGTCAAGAGAATCCCAATTCTAGGCGTCGAAACGAACCCATCTACCCACCAGCTGCTCTATTTCCCAGGTGTGACTTTCGCTTTTTTTCCCAGAAAAGCGTGAAGAACTTGTAGTCCACGTGTTTCATGAGATCATTTCCTCTCAGTGGAATCGTCGGATGGCCGGGTACAGTCATACCCAGCAAGACTTTTGCAACTTTGTCGTCTATTCCAGCTTTCGCCATAATCAGTGTTCTCGCCGTCATCTCCGCGTCCGTGGATCCTCGGGCGACCATTACGGCGCGGGGAGTATAACCGGCGTCCAAGGTGCTTGCTACGTTAGCATTAAACTGTTTCACGTAACGACTGTAGACCCTGAAATTCTCAGTATTCTCTACCTGATTGAGTTGGTTGCGGTGGGTAATTCTATCCAGCTTGAGGTTCTTCCAGGCGTCAAACGTGGTAATATCAGTCCGGAGCCACTTGTTCAGCAGATAATCTTCAGACTTTCTGGCAAAATAGGCATAATATTTGTAGTTCTTGTGGGCCTTCAATGCCGCATTGTCAAGTCCATTCAGCTTCAGCATCTTTTTGACATAGGCGTCGGGCGCTTCGCTCTCTAGCCACCATCGTACTTTGATATGCTTCCCGAGTCCCCTCTCCGCCGAGTTTTCGTTTATGCCTTCGACTTTGGGAGCTGTGCTAGCCCGCAACGATCGTCTCTGGGCTGGGTGGCTCGAGAAGGGCAAGTCAGGTAGCGCAGGAAATGCACTACTGCTTGCGAGTACAACGATCAACGTGAGGACTAGAGTTTCGATATAGCGCATCGTACGGAGTGGAGGTGGGGTCTTTGCGAGGTAAACTGTAAATGGAAAATAAGACGCTCAGCTCGTAAATGGCGACAAGCAGCTGGCTCATCAAGCGGATAAGCCAACATGTGCGAGTGAAGAAATTCAAGCGATGGGACTCTGTATATATGTATTGAAGCAGCATGTAGCCAGTCTTGGTTCAGCGTAAACGATATGTGTGTGTCCTGAAATCATATTCTAGTCTACTCAATATTAATAAATGTAGCATAACATAAAGGAGT